TGACTAAGTCCTGCCCTAGGATGACTAAGCAGGACCAGACCAGAAAATGGATAAGCTTCTAAGAGCATGGCCTGCTTGACACTGTTACAGGAAAGGGGTCCCGATCCGGACCCCAAGAAAGGGTTCTTGGATCTCTCGCAAAAAAAAATTCAGGGCAAGTCCACAGAGTAAAGTGAAAGCAAGTTTATTAAGAAAGTAGAGGAATAAGAGAATGGCTATTCCATAGAGCAGCCCTGAGGACTGCTGGTTGCCCATTTTTATGGTTATTTCTTGACGATATTCTAAACAAGGGGTGGATTATTCACACCTCCCCTGTTTAGACCATAGAGGGTAACCTCCTGATGTTGCCATGGCATTTGTAAACTGTCATGGCGCTGGTGGGAGTGTAGCAGTGAGGATGACCCAGAGGTCACGCTCATGGGCGTTTTGGTTTTGGTGGGTTTTAGCTGGCTCCTTTACTGCAAACTGTTTTATCAGCAAGGTCTTTATGGCCTGTAGTTTGTACGGACCTCCTATCTCATCCTGTGACTAAGAAGGCCTCGGCCGTCTGGGAATGCAGCCCCGTAGGTCTCAGCCTCATTTTACCCAGCTCCTATTCAAGATGGAGTCGCTCTGGTTCAGACACCTCTGAACATGTTCATGCATTGTTTGACCCACAGTAGATAAACCTGAGGCTAAGCCCTTGATTGATAATATCACCAATCAGGAAAATGAATAGTGGTGGCCAGGCACGGTGGCTCATGCCTGTAATCCCAGCACTTTGGGGGACCAAGGTGAGAGGGTCACTTGAGCCCAGGAGTTCAAGACCAGACTGGGCAAAGTAATGAGACCCCATCTGTGATGATTAATACTGAGTGTCCCAAAGTACTGATCCCGGGTGTGTCTGTGAGCGTGTTGCCAAAGGAGATCAGCACTGGAGTCAGTGGACTGGGGAAGGCGGACCCACCCTCAATCTGGGTGGGTACCATCTAATCAGCTGCCAGCATGGCTGGAATATAAAGCAGGCAGAAAAATGTAAAAAGATGAGACCGGCCTAGCCTCCCAGCCTACATCTTTCTCCTGTGTGGACGCTTCCTGCCCTCGAACGTCGGACTCTACGTTCTTCAGTTTTGGGACTCAGACTGGCTCTCCTTGCTCCTCAGATTGCAAACAGCCTACTGTGGGACCTTGTGATCGTGTGAGTTAATACTTAATAAACTCCCCTTTATATATCTCTCTCTACAGAAATAAAAAATTAGCCAGCTGAAGTGATGCACACCTGTGGTCCCAGCTATTCAGAAGGCTGGCGTGGGAGGATCACTTGAGCCCTGGAGGTCGAGGCTGCAGTGAGCTGTGGTTGCAACACTGCACTCCAGCCTGGGAGATAGAGTGAGACCCTGTCTCTTAAAAAAATAAAATAAAATAAAATAAAATAAAATAAAATAAAATAAAATAAAATAAAATAAAATACAGTAGTGAGACATTTCAGGCCATTTAAAGATTTGAAATTATGGTCTTTAATATTCATTAAAAACTTGGTCATGTTTTCTTGTTTCCACCTCTACCCCAACGGAAAAAGAGAAAATACAGTGAAAAAGAGGTTTAAACTTAGTTTTTCTTCAGGTTGAGCCCTCGTGTGACTTTCAGTCAGAAATGGGTTATACTGTGGCCAGGCGCGGTGACTCATGCCTGTAATCCCAGCACTGTGGGAGGCTGAGGGGGGCTGATCACTTGAGGTCAAGAGTTCGAGACCAGCCCTGGCAATATGGCAAAACCCTGTCTCTACTGAAAACGCAAAAAGTAGCCAGGTGTGGTGGTGGGCGCCTGTAGTCACAGCTACTCGGGAGGCCGAGGCACGAGACACTTGAACCCGGGAGGTGGAGGTTGCAGTGAGCTGAGATCACGTTACTGCATTTCAGCCTGGGTGACAGAGCAAGACTCTGTCTCAAAAAAAAAGTGTGTGTGGGGAGGGGTGCTTACATCGGAGAGTGTTTTTGTTTCTGCCTTCAAAGGTCATGCCAGGAGAAGATATATATATATATTTTTTGAGACAGAGTCTCGCTCTGTCGCCCAGGTTAGAGTGCAGTGGTGCGATCTCAGCTCACCACAAGCTCCACGTCCTGGGTTCACACCATTCTCCTGCCTCAGCCTCCTGAGTAGCTGGGACTACAGGCGCTCGCCACCACACCCGTCTATTTTTTTGTATTTTTAGTAGAGACAGGGTTTCACTGTGTTAGCCAGGATGGTCTCCATCTCCTGACCTCGTGATCCGCCCGCCTCGGCCTCCCAAAGTGCTGGGATTACAGGCGTGAGCCACCGCGCCCGGCTATTTTTTTTTTTTTTTTTTTTGAGACAGAGTCTCACTCTGTCACCCAGGCTGGAGTGCAGTGATGCAGTCTCGGCTCACCACAAGCTCTGCCTCCCGGGTTCACACCATTCTCCTGCCTCAGCCTCCCTAGTAGCTGGGATTATAGGCATAAGCCACTGTGCCCAGCCCGAGAAGAGATTTTTTTAAGTCACTTTACTCTATTTCCAAATTTTAGTCTTCCATATTTTTAGAGACCACCTGCCACGTCCTTTCCATCTGAAGCCTGGCATCTCGAGCCTGGTGTGAAGGTGTGCTCCCCAATGAACAACTTTACCCTCCTAGTACAGCTTAGTCCCTCTCACCCTGTTCTCAGCAGCGGGGTGTGACATACCCACTGTGCACCTGACATACCCACTGTGCACGTGACATACCCACTGTGCGTGTGACATACCCACTGTGTGCGCACGACATACCCACTGTGCGCGTGACATACCCACTGTGTGTGACATACCCACTGTGTGCAACATACCCACTGTGCGTGTGCGATATACCCACTGTGCGTGTGCAATATACCCACTGTGCACGAGACATACCCACTCTGTGAGATATACCCACTGTGTGAGATATACCCACTGTGTGAGATATTCCCACTGTGCGAGATATACCCACTGCGCGAGACATACCCACTGTGCGCCACCATGCTGCACAGCTGTGTGTTTGCCACTGTGCGTGACACCACCCACTGTGTGCGTGACACCACCATAACCAGTGACACTACCACTGTGTGCTGGAGACATACTCACTGTGTGAGTGCAGGGCCTTTTTCATTCGTGCTTGTCCCAAGAAAGTCATGTCCGCTGGAACCTCAGAATGTGACATACCCACTGTGCGTGAGACATACCCACTGTCCGTGCGACGTACCCACTGTGCGCAAGATATACACGCTGTGCGCGACATACCTGCTGTGTGCGAGACATATCCACTGTGTGCACGACATACCCACTGTGCGTGACATACGCGCTGTGTGCGAGATATACCCGCTGTGTAACATACCCACTGTGTGCGTGACATACCCACTGTGTGCATGACATACTCACTGTGTGAGTGCAGGGCCTTTTCTCATTCGTGGTTGTCCCCCAGAAAGTCATGTCCGCTGGAACCTCAGAATGTGACCTTAATTTGGAAAATGGGTCTTTCCAGACATGGTTAGTTAACATGAGGCCATGTTACATTAAGGCAGGCCTAAGTCCACTGACTGGTGTCCTCATAAGAAGAGGAGAGGCTGGCCGGGTGCAGTTGCTCACGCCTGTAATCCCAGCACTTTGGGGAGACTGAGGCAGGCAGATCTCTTGAGGTCAGGAGTTCAAGATCAGCCTGGCCAAGATGGTGAAACCCCATCTCTACTAAAAACACAAAAATCAGCCAGAAACTGCTTGAATCCTGGAGGTGGAGGTTGCAGTGAGCTGAGATCATGCCACTGCACTCCAGCCTGGGCAACAGAGCGAAACTGTCTCAACAACAACAAAAAGGAGACGGGAAGAACTCTTGTGAAGACAGACACAGGGAGGGGGCCACGAGAAGATGGAGACAGAGTCTGGGGAGATGAGGCCGGGGAGCACTGAGACCTGCCAGAAGCTGGAGGCGGCAGGAAGGACCCTCCCCTGGAGCCTTCAGAGGGAACATGTTTCTGCCGACACCTTGGTCTCGGCCTTCTGGCCTCTAGAGCTGTGAGAGAATAAACTTCTGTCATTTAAAGCCACAGGAAATGGACACGTCTTCCTTGTATGTTGCACAGTATATATTTTCTTTTTTTTAGGTGGGGAGACAGGGTCTTGCCCTGTTGCTTAGGCTAGAGTGCAATAGCATGATCTCAGCTCACTGCAGCCTGGAGCTCCCGGCCTAAAGCAATCCTCCCACCTCAGTCCCCATCCCCTCCCACCCAGTAGCTGGGACTACAGGCACACACCCACCAAACTCGGCTACTTTTTGTATTTTTTTTGGAGAGACAGGGTTTTGCCATGTTGTCCAGGCCAATATATATTTTCCAGCACAGAAACAAAATTCTGTGCTGGAAAAGACCTGTATTCCTGCTTGTAGACTCCGCGATTGTTAACAGTTTGCCTTGGTTGCTTATCTGCATACACATATGTGCGTGTAGTGATTTACTTTTTTGCAGAATGAACTGCAGACATCATGACACGTCACCTTTACCAAAGAATTCAACAGTTATTTCTAAAATTAAAGAACATTCTTCTGCTTTAGGGGATGGCAAACTATGGTCCTAGGCCAAATCCAGCCACCCCCTGGGTTTAAAAATAAAGTTTCGAGCCGAGAGTGGTGGCGCCCGTGGTCCCATCTCCTCCGGAGGCTGAGGCTGGAGGATCCCTGGAGCCCGCGAGGCAGAGGCTGTCGTGAGCCGAGATCGCGCCACTGCACTCCAGCCTGGGCGACAGAGCGAGACCCTGTCTCAGGAAAAAAATACAAGTGGGCTTATGAATAAAATCAGAATAAAAAACAACAGATCTTTGCCTCGACCAACCGCAGCCCCAGCGAGGCGCACGCGCAGGCGCGCGCTCGACGGTTCCGCGCGTGCGCACAGGCAGGGAGCGCGCGCCCCCTCGGCAGTCTTAGGCCTCCGGGGGCTGCAGTTGCGCGGCTCGGCCACTGCGCGGCGGTGACGTGCGCCTGGGCGGTGTCGCGGGCTGTGACGTCACGCCGCGCGCCGGGGCCAGGAGGAGGCGGGCGAGGGCGGCGCGTGCTCTGTGTGCTGGATACCCGGAGACCCCGAGACAGGGGAGTCTCGGCGGCCGCCGCCGTCATGGTTTCGCGCTTGCAGCTCCCGCCTGAAATCCAGCTGGCACAGCGTCTGGCGGGGAATGAGCAGGTGACCCGGGACCGGGCGGTGAGGAAGCTCCGGAAATACATCGTCGCCAGGACTCAGCGGGCCGCAGGTTGGTGGAGGTGTGGGCGGCTGGCGTCTCGGGAGCCGGCTGTGCTGGGGCGGGTGTGGGCGGCGGCGGCCGGGGCTGGGGGCCCTCGGAGTCCTATGGAACCTCCACGTGGCCGGGCCAGGCAGGCGGGGCCCATGGGCCTGTTCCTGCTGCTACCGGTCCGCGGTCCCCGTGGCCGCTTTCCCTCGTGGTGCAGTGACTTCTGGTCCCTCTGCGAGGACGCTCCTCCCCAGCCCCCTAACTCCTTTCCTAGCTCAGACATCCCCTCCCTCAAGTAGACCATGTACTCCTGCTGCCCTGCTGTTTAGGCACCCAGTATTTTTCCCTCGTGGCAGCATTTCCCACTGTTAGCAGTTTTCTGTTTGCGTAATTATTGGATTGTTTTCCGATTTCCACTCAGGATATCTCTGAGGGCCGAGAATCTACTTCTTGTTCGTGGTACCTGGTGGTTCTCCGAGCGTGGTCCCCCATCAGCAGTAGCATCCCCTGCACATTTGTTAGAAATGCAGATTCTATGTCGGGCGCAGTGGCCCAAGCTGGTAATCCCAGCCACTCGGGATGCCAAGGTGGGAGGATCGCAAGAGCCCAGGAATCCAGCCTGGGCAACAGAGCAAGACTCCATTTCCATTACAAAAGAAAAAAAAGAAATGCAAGTTGTAGGGTCCTAGCCCCGCCAAATCAGGACTAGCATCTGCTTTATGAAGCTGTTGGAGTGGTACCGATCCCCACACTCAGCTTGAGAACCACTGCTATAGGAACAGCTTGCCAGACATAGGATTTAAGTGAATGTCAACTGAGTAATGTTTTAAATTAAACTTTTTAAAAAATTTTTCTGAGTGAGACAGACCTCACTGTCATCCAGGGTGGAGGAGTGCATTGGCACCATTATGGCTCACTGCAGCCTCTACCTTCCAGGCTCAAGTGAGCCTCCCATCTCAGCCTCTCTAGTAACTGGGACTACGGGGGGCGCTGTGCCACGAGGCCAGCTAAATTTAGTATTTTTTGTACAAATTGGGGCATTCCTATGTTGCCCAGGCTGGTCTTGAACTCCTGGCTTCAAGTGATCCCGCCTCAGCACTCAATTCCAAAGTGCTGGGAGTACAGGCATGAGCCACTGCACCTGGCCTGAGTAATTTCTGTTTCTCTCCCTGGCCAGTCTGAATGCCTGAGTTCACTTTCTTCTTTTTAATATTTGAGATATATTACAGAAAAGTGCAGAAACGCTCAGTGTAATGCTGGATGAATTATCGCCAACAGATTAACCTGTGTGGCCACTGATCAGCTTAGGAAACGGTCGAGGTTCGCAGTTTTGAATTTCCAAAATGGAGTACGGTGCCTGATACCTTGTAGATTCGCAGTCAGTTTTACTGAGTGCGCGAAGTGGCAGTTACCTGAAGGAGCCGCACAGCCACGGGCACAGCAGGTTCTGGGTTAGAAGGATTGTTTGAAGGGGAGGGCCAGATTTTGCCCCCCAGTTGCCTTTACAGTAAGTGGGACTTTGGTCTCATTCAGGCAGTCATGTTTCTGTGGCTTCCTTCCTGGCACTCGAAGGTGCGGGGTTCATTTGGTCCAAATATTGCTGTTTTGCTGCAGGTGGTTTTACTCACGACGAGCTGCTGAAGGTGTGGAAAGGACTGTTCTATTGCATGTGGATGCAGGACAAGCCGCTCCTCCAGGTGAGTGGAGTGAGCAGCAGAGAAGGTGCAGAAGCAGCAGGGGAGGATGAATGGGCATCTGGTCGACCCAGTTTTTTTTTAAGACGGAGTTTTGCTCTTGTTGCCCAGGCTGGAGTGCACTGGTGCAATCTCAGCTCACTACAACCTCCGCCTTCCAGTTTCAAGCAGTTCTCCTGCCTCAGCCTCCCGAGTAGCTGGGATTACAGGCGCCCGCCACCACGCCCCGTTAATTTTTTGTATTTTTAGTGAAGGCGGAGTTTCATCATGTTGGCCAGGCTGGTCTTGAACTCCTGACTTCGTGATCCGTCCGCCTCGGCCTCCCAAAGTGCTGGGATTACAGGTGTGAGCCACCGCGCCCGGCCTAGTCCACCCAGTTTTAATATGGCCAGAGACCGTGGGGAGGTCGTGTAGCCTTGGTGCTTGGTTCTGCATGGCTGGTGGGTGTGGGCCTTTGGTTCGGTGAGTCTTACACTTGCTGAGGTCGTTGATGTGATTGACTGAGTCGTGCACCATAGCCACACTGGCATATGGGTGAAAACTGGGTTTTGTGTTTGTCCTGGGTTGCAAACAAGTGCTGAAATAGTGGAAACCAAGGGGCAGAATTCAAGTCTCCTGAGACAAGGACTTCTCCTGCTAGCCTTTTTCAAACATTGTTTCTCAAATTGTGAATTTTGTGCTCTCCTTCAGAATCTCATGGGTAGTGAGGATACTTAGTTAAATTCAAGGGGAGGCTATGAAATGTCTCTTAGCAAGTGCCCTGGGCGATGCATGGCGCAGTGATGTAGGCAGATAGTGAATGATCTATGGGGTCTCGCAGCCCTCCTCCTCCTGATGGTTAGGGGGCTGTGAGTCCCAAGGCTCCCTTCTGCTCTCCCACGTCCCTCTTTAACCATGACTCTGTGGCTTTAGCACAGCCCCTGTGAGGAGGACAGTGCCTGCCGTGGTTGTGTGAGAGGCTGTTGACCCCCGGATGTAGAGGGGTCTTTTGCAGCAGGGGTGAAACCTCCAGTCCACTGAGCTGAGACCCCCTGGAAGCCGACTCTCTGTGATGAGTGAGTGAGTGGGTGGTTGTGTGTGTGTCATCGTGAGAGCCTGGTGCTTTAGGGGCTGAGGGCGTTTTTCTTGTTTCCTGCACAGGAAGAATTAGGAAGGACCATTTCCCAGCTCGTTCATGCTTTTCAGACCACGGAGGCGCGTGAGTATGCTCTGCCATAGTTGGGTACATTTGTAGATGTCAGAACCTCTGAGCATCAGAGCCACCAGACACAGGAGGGTTTGTGTTCTCAAATCCAGAGTAAGGAATGCCTAAGAGCGAGAGCGCGCCAGCTGGTGTCTGTGGGTGCTTAGCATGTGTGGAATGCTGGTGTAGGTGTTCAACATGGATTAGCTCATTTACCCAAAACACTCATTTTGAGTCTAACGGGCTAATATCTTACATTTTAAAAATAAAATGAAAAGCCAGGGTAAAGTCATCAAGAGATTTGACTGAATTCCACCTGATGGACGTGAGGTTCCTGCAGTTGATTTTCTAACTCCTCCGTTCTCTGGTGACCGGAGTTGAGAAGTTCTTACCCTGCCTGTCTGTGGGACTCACTTGAGGAGCCTCTAAATATTCTGATGTCCAGATCCTGGTCCAGCAAAACCCAGTTCTAGGGGTAGGGCCTGGGCATCAGTGTTTTTATTATTTATAATATGTAAAGAAAGGTTCCTCCATGTTCTCACCTCACTTCCCAGAGTGGCTTCGTGCTCCTCAGTGGTTCTCTTCTGGCTTATTCCTCCTCCAGAGCACCTGTTCCTTCAGGCCTTCTGGCAGACCATGAATCGCGAGTGGACAGGCATCGACAGGCTGCGCCTGGATAAGTTCTACATGGTGAGGCAGCCGCCAGGGCGCCGGCCAGTGGGGGCAGCGTGGGTCTCAGTGCCCGGCCGGGCAGAGACAGGCAGCGCCTGGGCAGGGAGGCGACGTGAGGCAGTGCGACCCTGAAGCCAGGGTGGGAGGTGGAGCCGAGGCTCTGGGCGGTCCCTGCCCAGGGCTCTGCAGCATTGTCGGTCTCTGAGGGTCATTGAATGGGCAAGGAATCCGACCCATAAAACACCACACAAACTTTTGGTTCAGAGAAGGAAAGTGACGATTGCCCTCCTGGGGAGAGTCGATGGTGACACCGTTGTTACTTTGCCAAGGAGGCCGTGAGTTTGGAGGCACAGACTCCAGAGCTGCGGTCGGGCCCTAGCGTGAGCCCTGGAGTGCCTGGCCTGCGAGGCTGGGATGGCTGGGTCACAGTGCGGGACTTCCTTTCCCTCCTCCCGCATTGTATCCCCATTCAGGGTGCTGATTTGCCCTGAGAATGCTGGGGAATACGGGTTTAGAAGTGCAGCATGTTGCTGCCCGGACCTGCTTCTCTCCTTCCCTCCTTCCCTCTTGTTGAACCATGAGGTCTCATTACTGAGGTGGTGGCCATTGTAACCTTAGAGCAGATCTGAGATATAGAGACATTGTCACTGTGTAGGAGTCAATCACCCAGTGGGGACGCTGAAAGGGGCCATGTCTGGGCTTCACTGAGGGCAGATGTTGATCTGCCATTCTGGCTTCAGTGTCCAGCTCAGATTCGGGCCAGGATTATACGGACAGTGTACATACCAGTGATTCTAGAATTGGAGACCAGGGCGGGAAAAGCCTGGAGCTCAAGAAGGAAGGAGGCTCCAGGGCAGGCCAGGGGCCCGGCCATGCACTCGACAGAGTGCAGACTCTTAGGGACAGCGGGGCTCTGCAGGGAGGCCACCCCACTGGTTTGCTGAGATGCAGCTGCTGGGTCCTTGGATGGATGCATTCTGCTGCTTTCCATGGCTCGTTTCCGGGCCCCTTGTGTGACTGAGTCTGGCAGCACAGCCTTGCATCAGGGCCGGCCTCGGTGGCACTGCAGGGTGGCGTAGGGGATAGACCTCCCGTGTCTACAAGAACAGTGTCCTGGCTGCTGGGCTGTGCTCTGTCATCGGGACTCCTGGGGGTCTGCGTGTCCTCTGCTGCTCTTGACTGCGGCTCACACCTCACTGTGGGCGTGTAGGCATGCTGGGTCAGTAGCCTAAAGCGGGGACAACTGCAGAAGGGTGTTGAGTCCCATGGAGGGAAATGGCATTGGGGGGCAGATCTGGAGCTTCATTCACGGGTGAGGCTTGGGAGCGCCCTCACTGCGTAGCGCACTGCAGAGGAAGTGAGCTGTGTTCTCCCACTGGGGAGAGCCTGGCGAGGGCCAGCCGTGTTTCAGACCCGGTTTTGCGGAGGGCTCCACTGCCCGTTGGGGTAGCTGTGCCTCTTTCCTGGTTCTCCCTTATGAATCAGGGAGTGTCTGTTTCAGCCCCGGTTTATGGACTGGAGTCATAGGACTGTCCCCTATTCCCTCCCACCCCCGTGTGCCTGCTTCCAGCCAGCTGGGGCCTTGGAGCTGGGGAGAGGGGCGCATTCTCAGCCCTGGATTCTGAGGGCTTGGTGTTGTATCCTCCAGCGTCTATCAACAGCTCTGGGGGCCGCTGTGTGCCTGGGGCCAGCAGAGGTGACCACGGCTGTGGCTTTATCTTGCAGCGGCTCGTGGTACATGGGGAAGGGTGGTCTGGTGAAGTAGGGCTGGGCTTTTGCTAACACGAACCTCCTTCTGTGTCTAAGCTCATGAGGATGGTCCTGAACGAGTCCTTGAAGGTTCTGAAGATGCGAGGCTGGGAAGAAAGGTGGGTGCGCGGCGGGCCTGCTGTGGGGGGATGCTGCTCTCAGGGACCACAGTCATGTGTTTGTCGTTTGATTCTTTGTCATAAGGAGATGTCAGCCTTTACATTAAAGCATGCCCCCGGTCGTGCTTAGAGATAAGATCTTTTTTAAAGTAAAAATTAGTTTGTGTGTTTGTGGAAATGATGCCATTTATCCTCAGGCTTGGAGGCCAGTTCTCACTGGGAGTCAGGAGGGAGTTTTTTAATGAAAGGGTGTCCAGCTGAGGAGCTTCTTATAAAAACACGGCATGTTCCGCTCCGTTAGCAATGCTTTTTGTTTTTTTGAAATAGGTCTCACTGTTGCCGAGGCTGGAGTGCAGTGGCGTGATCTTGGCTCAACTACAGCCTTGACCTCCTGGGCTCAAGTGATCCTCCTGCCTCAGCCGCCCAGCTGGCTGGGACCGCAGATGTGCATCACCAGGCCCACGTAATTTTTGTATGTTTGGTAGAGACGAGTTCTGTCCTGTTGCCCAGGCTGGTCTCAAACTCTTGGGCTCAAGCAGTCTGCCTGCCTAGGCCTCCCAAAGTTGTAAGCAATTTTAATTGCTCCTAATTGTAAAAATATGTAAATTGGCCCGGCGCGGTGGCTCACACCTGTAATCCCAGCACTTTGGGAGGCCGAAGCAGGCAGATCACTAGGTCAAGAGATCAAAACAATCCTGGCCACCACAGTGAAACCCCGTGTCTACTAATAATACAAAAATTAGATAAATACATAAAAAAGAATCAGCAGGCTGGTTATGTTGGGGCGAGGGGATCGCTTGAGCCCGGGAGTTTGAGGCTGCAGTGATCCATGACTGAGCTACTGCACTATAGCCTAGAGTGAGATTCTGGGTTTTGTTTTGTTTTTGTTTTGTTTTGTTTTTAAAAAAAAGAATCAGCAGGAATTGGACTGTGGTTGCCTGAGTTTCTCCAGCTTTGAGTTGCGTGGGTGATTTTGCAGTTAGGGCAGCGGTGCCTCTGATTTGGAGGGATTTTCATTCTTGAGTTCCCTGGCAGGACTCTGATGCCGGGAGTCTCTTACTCATTCTAGGCCTTAGCACTGTGGATAACCCCGTAGGGGTCTCATGACTTAAGCTGAATTAAATGGTAAAGGGATGATTTTACTTTTGTTAACTATTTTTGGTTTATTACTACAAGAGTATTTTTCGTCCCTGTAACTGAGAATTCAGTACAGGAATCATTTGGAAGACGATGGTGGCTTCCCCCAGTGCCCGGGGTCCCAGTGCTGACAGTGGGGTCCTCTTTTCCTGCCCTCTTGGATCTCCTATAGGCATAACCGGGCTGTCATTAATATCCGTGGCATTGTCACTGGCCTGGAAGTCGGTCCCTTGCACCTGTGTGTCTTCCTCTTGGTCTCAGCACCTGTTCTTGCCTCTGTCTCCTTTTTCCTGAGCCTTAGAGAGCATCACTTCTCCTTTCCATCACTAACGATTCTCCAGCCTTGCTGAGGAGCTTCCTAAATCACACAGTTCACAAATCCGAGTTAGGCAGCTGCATTACTGAGCACCCTAGGAGGTCCAGATGCGTCTAGATGCTTCAGATTATTCTCTGGGGACGTCTAGTCTTCGGATCCGGGCCTGTGATGCCATCAAACCTACCTGCCAGGGAGAGCTCTGGTGCACATCACAGGTGGAATGCGCCGTGCGGCAGTGCCTGGGAGGCCAGAAGGTGGCTCATGGTCCTCGGCCCCTTTCTGGGCCTCCACTTTCCTTTCTGCGTCTGTGCCGTCCTGACGTGTCTTCCCCAGCGGTACTCAGTGGAGACAGTGGAGAGGAACACCAGGCAGGGTGTCTCGTCTCAGCCAAGACTTTCTGTCTGGTAGCAGTTTTGAGGACAGAGGGAAGGCCTGTCTGAATGTTTACACGTGTTGCATCTTGTAGCTGACATGCAAACTCAGGCCATATGTTCTGGTGCTGGTGATGGTCACTTAACTCCCTAATTGCAAGACTGCTTTGTGCTGGAACAGAGCCAGGATCGTTGATCTTCACCTGTGTGGACTTCGGGCCGGCCTGTTTGCAGACAGTGGCACCTGCCTCCACTTAGGTTCCCGTCTGAGCTTGTAACCGCCGGAGAGTGGGAGCACGGCTGTCTTGGGGCTTGCCGAGGCTACCTGTCATATTTGCTTTTCCTTTCCTCAGACAGATCGAGGAGCTGCTAGAGCTGCTGACGAGCGAGATCCTGCACCCCAGCAGCCAGGCCCCCCACGGGGTGAAGAGCCACTTCATTGAGATCTTCCTGGAGGAGCTGACCAAAGTGGGCGCTGAGGAGGTGAGGCTGGGCTCCGACGGGGCGGTGGAGCTAGGCATTTGTGGACGAGGGACTGAGCTCCGCTGGCTTTCCCCATAGCTTACAGCAGACCAGAACCTGAAGTTCATCGACCCCTTCTGCAGAATCGCCGCCCGGACCAAGGAGTAAGTGGTGGGCGGCCTGGTCGGACCCGACTCCTTCACTGAGTTCTTCTGTGGGGCTGCCGTTTTTGGGGGGCTGCTCCCTCCAGGGAAGAATCTGTTGCAGAGTGGCCACTGGCCATGCGGGTGGGCGGGGGTGGAGGGGAGGCTGCAGGGCAGTTGGCGGCTTCTGCTTTGGAATCCAGCATAACGGGCCTGCTCGCCAGCCTCTGCCCTGCCCCTCAGTTCCCTGGTTTTGAACAACATCACTCGAGGCATCTTTGAGACGATCGTGGAGCAGGCCCCACTTGCCATTGAAGACCTCCTGAATGAACTGGACGCACGGGATGAGGAGGCGGCGTCGGACAGTGAGGAGTCCTCTGAGGGCGGTGAGCGCGGAGATACGCTGTCCCAGAAGAGGTCTGAAAAGCCGCCCGCAGATGGGGGTCACGGCACGCCCGGCTCCTCCTTGGGGCCTGTCCTGGGCCGAGCCAGTGTGGTCTCCTGCTGGGTTGCTCCCACCACCTTCTGCCTGGTCCCCTTGTCTCTGCCCCTCCCCACAGTCCATCCTCAGCATAGAAGCCAGAGTGACCTCTGTGGGCACCAAGCATGCGTGTCATTTCCCCTCAAGCCCCCCAACCTCTGGTGCGCTCCATGCCCTCTCCAGACCCCTGGGCTCCTCAGTCTAACCCAGCACGCCTCTGGCTCAGTTGGCCCCCTGGACTCGTTGCTGCCTTTGTGCCGAGTCTCCCTGTCCCTCCCACCGTCTGTCCCCACCACTCTCTGGGGCTGGACTCTTTCAGCCTCCTGGCCTCTCCCAGCCCCGCAGGCAGTGCTCCACATAGCGTCACTCTGTGGCACGGGATGTGAACCACTCGCTCCTCACGTTCCTCGTTCCTGGCCCGTCTCCCCAGAGGACAGCAAGCTCTGTCCGTACTGACCGTGGCAGGGTTCAGGCCTGAGACCTCAGGGCACCTGGCTGCTGGAGAGCAGACCCGCTCCTCACTGCCTGCCAGAGGCCTCTGGGGGCAGCCGTGGGGTCCAGCCTGGCCCGTTTCTGGTTTGATGCTGCCCTCATTGTCCGAGCCTGCTGGGTGGTCTGAGCTGTAAGTGTGGCATCCTGGTGTTGTGGAGGGTGTGTCTTCGACCATGCCCAGGACCCCCGTGTGCCCTGACTCCGTGTTGTGGCCGCTGTGCCCCTTGGCTTACTAATCAGAAGACCCCTCCGCACCACCCCCAGCACTTGGCCCGGCCACCCTATGCGCGTCTCCCTGTTCCCTGCCTTGCCCTTCTCTCTCAGTAGCTGAGGCGCCTGGCAGGTCCTCCAGTGCCTGCTGCTGGCCCCTGGCTGCCACCTCCAGAGCAGACCCTTGTCACATGCTGCCCCACAGCTGCCTGTTGCCCAGAAATCTTTCTTCGGCAGACAGTGCCATCAAAGCCCCAAATGCCCAGCCTAGCTTGAGCGCCTGACTGAAACATCAACTCCCACAGCTTCTGTTCCAGGGCCACCTTGAGGCTGGACTGAGCTACCCCTCCTCACTTCTGGAACTTTTGACATGGCCTTTGTTGCCCGAGATGCCAGCTTGTAGTCAGCCACTCAGGGCTGTATAGGCTCCTGTGCCCTGGGGCGTCTTTTTTCCTTTCCAGGCCTGGGGTGGCACCTCTCGTCCTGTCGATATGAGATTGGAGGTCACATGGCACCTAGTATCTGCCTTGAGCTGAGGGCCTTCCCGCCTGTGCCCGCGCTCTGACCAGGGTGTGGGGTGGACCCTCCGTTCCCGGGTATTTCCCGCCTGTGCCCGCGCTCTGTCCAGGGTGTGGGGTGGACCCTCCGTTCCCGGGTGTTTCCCGCCTGTGCCCGCACTCTGTCCAGGGTGTGGGGTGGACCCTCCGTTCCCGGGTGTTTCCCGCCTGTGCCCGCGCTCTGACCGGGGTGTGGAGCGGGCTCTCTGTTCCCGGGTGTTTCCCGCCTGTGCCTGCGCTCTGACCAGGGTGCACAGAGCGGGCTCTGCGTTCTTGGGTATTTGGAGCCGGCACACGTTGGGAACAGGTCTTTGAGTTCACGGGGTCCCTTTTGTTCCAGGCTCTGTCTGCAGGGCTGAACCTGAGGCTGGTGAGCAGACAGGTGACGACAGGGACAGTGGTGGCCCTGTCCTCCAGGTGGGTGCCCTGGGCTCCTGGCTGTGCCCTCAGCTTTTGCCCTGCTTTGCTGCCGCTGGCCCTGGAAGAGGAAGGGGGTGTTAGGAGGGAGGATGGCAGCCGTCAGCATGGAGAGTCACCCAGACGGGTTAGCTTTGAGGGAGGGATGGGTGCTCCAACCCTGCCCGCCTGCAGGCGAGTGGGGTCATTAAGAGTGGGGCTGGGGCCTGGGGTGGTGGGCTCAGAGGCAGACCTGCATTGTCCAGGGCTGGCCTCACCTCACGCTGACCTCTTGCCTCACACTTGGGCAACCCCCCGGATTTCCTGCGGCCCCTGCGTTGGGGTGCTGGGCTGGAATGAAATGGTGTGTGTCAAGCGGCTGGCCTGTGGGTCCCAGCGAGGAGTCCACTCAGCCAGTGGGGTCTGACTTCAGGCAAATTGGAAACTGAAATGTTTTAAGTTTTAAATATGATTATCTGCAGACTTAATAAAATATGGCCATCTTGGGTTAAAATCGATCAAATTAACTTATTTTATTCCTGCTTGTCTGTGCGTGGCTCATAGAGTTGTAAAGCTGCAGGCAGGCTCCTGGCGGGCGTGTGCCCCGCAGTGTGCATCTCGCAGAGTGTGCCCTGCAGTGCGTGCCCCACAGTGCACCCGCAGCATGTGTGGTGCCCACTGTGCTGTAGAGTGGCGGGGCTGCAGGACCCTCAGTGAGGGTGGGCTGTGTTCCTGTGAGCCGAGTGAAGAACCTGCAAGTGAAGACCAAGTGCCCTCTGGGTCTCAGGGGTTCCACGTTCTCGGAGCAGGCAGAGGGTGACTGACCTTGGCTCTGTGACGTCTGTCTTTTGAAACAGTTTGACTACGAGGCAGTTGCTAACAGACTGTTTGAAATGGCCAGCCGCCAGAGCACCCCTTCTCAGAACAGGAAGCGTCTCTACAAAGTGATCCGGAAGTGAGTGTCTGAGGGGCTGCATCTGCCCTGCTGCCCTTGGACTCGGCCTTTCCTCCTCAGATCTGGGTGCCTTTACCTTGTCCTGGGTCCTTCCGCAGCCCCTGGGGTGGTCCCCGCTAGGACCCTGAGACCCTCCACAGCCCCTGGGGTTCCCCTGGCTAGGACCCTGCAGCCCCTCTAGCTGGAGCTTCCTCCCCCTGCGGAAGCCGCAGCCATGGTAAGTGGGCGTCTGTCTTGCTCTTTCAGGCTACAGGACCTGGCAGGAGGTGAGGACCGGCCGGGCACTGACAGTGGCACCGCCTTGGAGGTGGAGCTCCGTCCTCGTGGGAGTGGATTGTTTCCAGGGGTCTTACAGCACGTGGAGTCTCTGCAGAGAGGCCTGGTGGTGTTCCTGGGGGACAGGGAGGCAGGGCTCAGGGTTCCACAGCTCTCGTTTTCGTGGGTTTTGCTGATTCTCAGACTTGAGTGTCCGCTGGAGTCCCCCAGAGTCTGAGAGACGGTGCTGGCCGCAGGGGCTCCCAAGCACTGACCACGGTGCTGCTGCTGGTCTGTTGTGCAGCACACGTCTGTTCCTGGCGGCATGTGGCGGATGGAACTGGCCTAGGTTATCGGAAGGAGGGTTTCCTAGGGGGGTTGATGGTTAGAGATGAAAGCATTTCCCCCAGTGTTTCTTTTTTTTTTTTTTTTTTTTTTTGAGACGGAGTCTTGCTCTGTCACCCAGGCTGGAGTGCAGTGGCCGGATGTCTGCTCACCGCAAGCTCCTCCTCCCGGGTTTACGCCATTCTCCTGCCTCAGCCTCCGGAGTAGCTGGGACTACAGGTGCCCGCCACCTCGCCCGGCTAGTTTTTTGTACTTTTTTAGTAGAGACGGGGTTTCACCGTGTTTGCCAGGATGGTCTCGATCTCCTGACCTCGTGATCCGCCGTCTCGGCCTCCCAAAGTGCTGGGATTACAGGCTTGAGCCACCGCGCCCGGCCTCAGTGTTTCCTTAAGAAAAGTTTCAGAGCTGCAGCTCAGGTGGAAGGATTTTATAGGGGATGCCTGCGTGCCCCCCGGCTCCAGAATCAGCACTTCCTGTCTGGTGTTAAGCTCGTCTCTCCGAGCGCCACACCCGCTGCATCCACCAGCCGGCGTGTCACGAGTTGTAGTCCAGGGTTTGTTTTCTTTTTTTAGTTTTTGAGACAGTGTCTCGCTCTGTTGCCCAGGATGGAGAGCAGTGGTGTGATTACAGCTCACTGCAGCCTGGATCTGGGCTCAAGCGATCCTCCAACCTCAGCCTCCCAGTCGCTGGGACCACAGGCGCGTGCCGCACGCCGGCTAATTGTTTCAGTTTTTGTAGAGACGGTTTCGCTGTGTTGCCAGGCTGGTAGTGTGGGGTTTTTAGGACAGCGTGCACCAGTGAGGTGCATGAGGTTCTTGTGTGTCTGGCGGGTTTTGATGGCCAAAGTTCCCTTGTGCCGCCAGCATAGACATTTTTAGGCTGTAGACGTTGGTGTACAGGTTGAGCGTTTCTAATCTGAAACCCCAAAACCAAAATGCTGCCAAGTCCAAAACCGAGTGCTGACAGGAAGCTCCAGGGAAATGCTCATCGGAGCGTTTTGGATTTGGGATTTTGAGATTAGGGATGTTGAGCTGGTGAATATGACAGCAGACGTTCCAAAACAATCTGACATCCAAAGCACTGCTGGTCCCAAGCACGTGGGTTCGTGGATACTCTACCTGTGTCCTAGATGCTTCAGAAACTGGCCTTTCCAAATGGACTTGGGTCTGAGCTGGTTCATTTCAGCTGTGGTGGCGGCACTGAACACGCTGCTCCTGGGTATTACAACAGGGCACTTTCTCACACACGTTGTCGGGAGGTGGTGCTGGCTGGGGCCTGTTGGAAGCAGCGAGCCTCAAACCAAAAGCCCCCATCCCCCCAGAGCCCCCTGACTTCTGCCCTGGTTCTCAGGCATCTTCCCTGAGGACGAGATCCCGGAGAAGGCCTGCAGGCGTCTGCTTGAAGGGAGGCGGCAGAAGAAGACGAAGAAGCAGAAGCGTCTGCTCAGGTTGCAGCGCGAGAGAGGTAGGACTGGCTGGTGTGTTAGTCATGGAGCTGGCGTCCTCACCTGCTTGCTTGTCCCCGGGATGGGGGTCACCTGCAGTGTCTCCCCCTGAAGCATGAGTGCCGAGTCCTCCGTCCTGGGTGCCTGCTATCCCCATGTCCCAGAAATGCCCTGTCCTCGGCATCCCTCCTGTAGGCCTCTCCCTGCCACCCCTACCTGCCATCCTTGTCTGCAGCTCCCCCCAGCTGTGCGCGCTGCCCTCCCTCCCGGTGTGGAGACGATCCTCCTGGCTGGGCTGCCTCTTCCCATGCCTCTGTCTTAGATCCAAGCCCCGTCCCCTCCTCTCCTGCACCCTCAGAGATTCCTGAGCCTCTCCACTTCTGTCCTTGATTTCAGGGGCTGTCTTCCCTCTTGGGCCTCTGGTCACACGAGTGTGTTTGGCATGTGTCGCCCTCATCAGGGGCAACCCAGGGCCTGGAGCTGCCTACCTGCAGTGGAGGGGGTTGAGCACAGTGCCGGGCAGGGCACGGGGCCCATGGCAGGAATGGGGTGCATAGGAGGGAGACAGTGGCTTTGCCCCACACTGGGAAGCCTTACCTGTTACTCTCTCCATGCCAAACCGGCCCTAGGGCCTAGGGATTCACCGCTTCCCGTCCCCGGAGCCCTGTGCCTCTGAGGCCCGTCCGTCTCATTTCCCATGGGGCAGCGGCCTCCTCTGCAGCCGGCCCTTGGCCTGGTTCCTGCACCCGTACCAGACACCGTCTGTGTGGCTCTGTGTGCAGCAAGCTTTGTGAACACTGTCGGCCCTGGCGTTCAGGGCCTGGCACTGCCCAGCATCCTTCTTCCACCTCCCCTTCTACCTTGAGCCCAGTCCTGCCTACTCTGTGCCTTTGCTCACGGGTCTCGCGACCCTGTCCTCACGCTAGTCCTTCCGAGGTCAGCCCTCGCTGGGGTCCTGAGCCGTGTGGGTAGAGCTTGGCGCCCACACTGGACACGGGATGCATCTGGCTGGCTGGTGTGGCCGTGTTGTCCTCCCAGCTCTGTGGTGCTGGCGTCCTCAGCCCAACTTGGAGTGAGTGGAAGGAGCCCATGCTGGCATTCTCTGGCTCATGGGGTCTTGCTGTTTTGTCAGGGAAAGGTGAGCAGGAGCCCCCGAGCCTGGGCATGGAGAGGAAGAGGAGCAGGAGGAGGGGTGTGGGGGCCGACCCCAAGGCGCGGGCAGAGGCTGGTGAGCAGCCAGGCACAGCTAAGCGGGCCCTGCTCCGAGATCAGCCCAGGGGCCGTGGCCAGAAAGGAGCTCGCCAGAGAAGGAGAACACCTCGGCAGCTGGCTGGTGCCCGAGCAAAGGCAGCCAATGTCCAGGAGCCGGAGAAGAAGAAGAAACGCAGGGAGTGACGTGGCTGGGCCCAGGACAGGCAGGGAGGGAGGCCAGGCCGCCCTTGCACCGAGGGATGAGGCTGACTGGGCTGTTCTTGGACTCAGGACCGCAGCTCCAGAACTCCCGTGCCAGGCAGGAGGGAAGGGCGGCACTGGAGAGGTGGGCCTGTCATTAGGGGCCAGCATCCCAGGAGCTGGACCTTTTCCCAGAGCCTCCACCTGTGGCTGTGATGACCTTGGGTCAAAAGGTCAAACTCTGAAGACTGAAACTGCACCTGCAGCAGGACTGGCTGAACCCGCTGTGGGGGGTTCAGAAAATAAAATGTGCGCGGCCCTTGCCGGGGACGTGTCGCTTCTGGTGTGTCCTACAGACGTGTGGGAGGTGGCAGCCGCCAGCCTCTGAGCGGTGTGGTGGTTTATATTCGTGTTTGTGGAAAAATCTTGTAAGACATTTCTCCTTTGACAGAGCCACTCAGCTGTTAACAGGGCTGTCTGGACGGGGCTTTTTTGCTTCCCCCCGAGTCTGGGGTCGTGTTGTGCAGTGAATTCAGTTCCAGTAAGGCCCAGATTGTCTGGGGTGAGCGTGTGTGATGGGAAAGCCTGGCTCCTGCAAGAGGCTCGTCCCTGGAGGCAGGAGCGCACCCACCATCCTGGGTACCCGTGGGTCCGCAGGCTGCGCGCCCCATCCCCTCCACCAGGTCACGCTCCTCATCCTCCATGTCCCTCTCCCCCGCACGCCTGCAGGAGCCTGTGAGGGAGGTGGCAGGTCGCCACTGTGGCAAGAGACCTGTCAGCCCAGGGCTAGCCACCTGCTCGGAACAAGGGCCCATCTGCCGCCAGCGCTGTGGCCACAGCCTGCATAGGTGACAAGGGGCTGCTGTGTTGGGTTTTGCCCGCTTCTGTTCCATGGGTGCCCAGCCAGCCAGGCCATGTGGGGTCCAGCGAGAGGCCTGGGCTTGGAGTGGGCCTGGGACCAGGAAGGACCCCCAGGCTGTGGCTGGCATTGTGCAGACCCTGAACTGCACCCGGTTCTCTAAAACCCTGCTGTATTCAAGTGTCCCCTGACCCCGGGGAGGTGGCGCCTGGTGACACCTCCTGCATCCCACTCAGCTGGGCGGCTGGTGACACCTCCTGCAGTCCCACTCAGCTGGGCGGCTGGTGACACCTGCAGTCCCACTCAGCTGGGCAGCTGGTGACACCTCCTGCAGTCCCACTCAGCTGGGCGGCTGGTGACACCTCCTGCAGTCCCACTCAGCTGGGCGGCTGGGGCAGGCTAAGGATGCAGCTAGGGGCTAAGGAGAAGGCAGGCCAGGGACGCTATTTTAGGGGGTTAGGGTTCTTTCTCCAAAGTAACGTAAAAAGATGCGTGGCCAGGCACAGTGGCTCGCGCCTGTAATCCTAGCACTTTGGGAGGCCAAGGTGGCCGGATCACCTGAGGTCGGGAGTTTGAGACCACCCTGACCGACATAGAGAAACCCCATCTCTACTAAAAATACAAAATTAGCCGGGCGTGGTGGCACATGCCTGTAATCCCAACTACTTGGGAGGCTGAGGCAGGAGAATCGCTTGAACTTGGGAGGCGGAGGTTGTGGTGAGCCAAGATCGTGCCACTGCACTGCAGCCTGGGCAACGAGAGTGAAACTCTGTCTCAAAAAAAATAAAAAAATAAAATAAAAAAGCCTGTCTAACACAAATTGCTGATGGCAAGTGTCAGACCTGGGCAGTGTCCCCTGGGCCCAGGCAGTGTTCCTTGGGCCTGGCCTCTTCACCCCCAGCAGAGCCTGTCGGGAGGCCTTTGGTAGGGAACAGGGTACATCATAATGCTTTGCTGTTTTTGTTGAAGTTTCTTTGGTCAAAAGCTAAGGAAACACCCATGCTAACAGAAGTTTCTGGAAAAAAGCAAATGAGTCACGTCGAATTGCGGTTGTGAAACCAGAAGCCACAGTGACTTTGGATCTTTCATGAGTGTGTTCACAGGGAGAGGTTTTTCACGACTGCGCTGGCACCGTCTTGGTCTGGCTGTTTCCAGGCCATGCTGGGTACACATTCTCCATCTTCAGAATGGTTTTAAATAACCGCATTGTGCTTATGATATGAATTACTGAATTCCTCTCCTATTGGTAGTCTCTTGTTTTTTTATTTTTGAGACTGAGTTTCGAGTCGAGTTTTTTGTTTTTGTTTTTTTTTTTTGAGACCAAGTTGGTGTTTTATTTCCCCACATAAATGGTAGTTCAGCTACTCAGGAGGCCAAGGTGGGAGAAGCGCCTGCGCCCAGGAGAGAATCCCTGAGAGGTAATTCACATAGAATACAGTTTGCCCAATTGAAGTGTATAATTTGAGTTTTTAGCATATTCAGAATTGTACAGCCATCACCACAGTCAACTCTAGACCATTTTCAGCCCAAAAGAAACTGGGTATGCCTCAGCCATCACCCGTCCGTCTCCCCGCCACCCGCATGGATCCTGCCGGCCTCAGGTTCTGGGCCATGTCTGTTCTGGCCGTGTCGTGTTGTGGGATCACACGGCACGTGGCCTTTTGCATCTGGCTGTTTTCACACAGCAGCGTGGTTCCAGGGCTCATCCACACCGTGGACTCCTTCCTTCCTTATGGCTGAGTGGCATCCCATGGTACAGACGGAGCGCACTGCGTCTGCCCGTTTGTCCACTGATGGACATTTGGGGTGTTTCCGCCTTTGGCCGTCTTGAGTCACGCTGCGGCATAAGGACGAGTTTTCAGGGGACGGATGCTTTCATCTGGGGCAGACGCCTAGGAGTGTTATGGCTGGGTCTTGTGCTACCCGTCTCTAGTCACTTGAAGAACTACTTTCCAGACTTTTCTACAGTGGCTGCATGTGTTGAGTTGAGCCTCGGGGACGGGCTCCTCTCTGGGTGTTCTGCTATGGTGAGGCTGATGGCACCCCAGGAGGTGACTTTTCAGGACACTTGGCCCAGCCACTCTGAGTTTGTGACCGGGACAGGAAACACCTGTGGTTCCACTCACCTGTGTGGAGTGGGGGTAACAGCACAGGGCTGGGATGAGGAGGATGTTGCTTTTTCCTGGAAAAACAATCTCTCAACCTTACAGCAATGTGGCAGATACAGAGAGCATTTCTCCCCCGAGCCTTTTGAGAGCATGTCCTGACTTAGCGCCCCAGCACCCTGGATACTTTGGGGAGGATTTCCTCCTACAGAGACAGTCCCGTAACCACAGCACAGCCGTCACATGGCGAACTAGAGCTGGGTGTGGTGGCACGTGCTACAGTCCCAGCTACCCTGGAGGCCAAGGTGGGAGGATCGCTTGGGTCCGCGAATTTTTGAGTCCAGCCTGGGCAACATCGAGACCCTGTCTCAAACCAGAAAAAATCAGGAAATTTGCGTGGATACCTCACTGTGTCCAGCCCTCGAACCCTCAGTCCTTAGTTGTCTCAGTGAAGTCCTTTACAGCCCCAGGGCCCTTGTTCAGATTCTTCCATGTGTCTGAAGAGCTCTGGCTCCTGTGAGGGGAGGGTGGTGTTTAGAAGTCGATCTGGCTGGGTCCTTGCTAGTCAGATCTCGTTGTTCATAGACACGCTCAGCGGGCAGAGCTGGGGCAGTGTGTGCACAGTGCGTGCCTGTTCTCTGCCTGTCCCTCCAGCCCGCCCACCAGCCACCCTCCATCCGTCTAGACTCAGGTCTCCAGAAAACACAGAACAACGAATGGGGGTGTCTGTGCGCTCCAGCTGCCAGCACAAAATCCTAGGGACTGTGCAGCTTAGGCCTGGGAAGGTGAGTTTCCGTTCTGGAGGATTCTGAGGGCATGTCGGCAGGGTTGCTTTTTCCTGGGCCCCCTCCTTGGCTTATCTTAATCAATGGCCGCCACCTCACGGTGTCCTGACCTCTCTCTTTTTTTTTTTTTTGGAGAAAAGGTCTTGCTCTGTCACCCAGGCTGGAGTGCAGTGCCATGATCTCAGCTCACTGCTACCTCTGCCTCCCAGGTTCAAGCGATTCTCCTGCCTCAGCCCCTGAGTACCTGGGATTACAGGCGTGTGCCACCATGCCTGGCTAATTTTTGTGTTTTCAGTAGAGTTGGGGTTTCACTGTGTTGGTTAGGCTGGTCTCGAACTCTTGACGTCATGATCCGCCCACCTCAGCCTCCCAAAGTGCTAGGATTACAGATGTGAGCTGCTGTGCCCGGCCATCCTGACCTTTCTTACAAGGACGTCATTTAACCCTAATGACCTCCCGAGAGGCCACATCTCCAGTCACACTGGGCATTAAGGCTTCAACATGTGCGTGTGGGGGGACACAGTCCTGTCCGTAGCAGGCGCGCGTGTGTGGTGGCGGTGGGGGGAGAGTGCCCTGTTTATTGTGAGGAGTCGGCTCACACGACTGGGGCTGGCAGTTGGGAATTCTGCAGGGCAGGCGGCCGGCTGGAGACCCCGGAAAGTCCTCAGGGGAGGGGACCCCGGTTTTTTAAGGCTTTGGCCAGGCGGACTGGATGAGGCCCCCTCCGCGGAGGCCCCCCTGCTTTCCTCAGTCCACCGATTCAAATCAGCCTCGTTCTGGAAACACCCTCAGGAACATCGAGGTGCTCTGCCCGAAGCTGGGTACCGGGACCGGCCACAGCGTTGGCCACTCACTGTCTTATCTGCTGCCCGTGCCTACCCCACTCGTGTTAGGAGTTGAGCTCTGGGAGGGGCGGTACCTCCAGCTGTGAGACACCCGGGTGTATTCTAGGGTTTCCCTTCTGTGTTTGAACCTCCTTCCCGAA